AGATATCTATTCGATTAATATAATCTGTAATGTTAAATCTTACCTTCTAAAGATATATTAATTACTAGTATTTACATAACCTAATTGTACAACTAAGAATCTAAAATTGAAAAGCTTAAAAAAAATAATAATATGACTAAAATATATTATTAAAAGGGGTCCCTTTAGGCAATGTTCCGAAGATACTGGCAGCGTTCCCTCTTTGAATGTACGTCAATTTGACCTACATCTTTAGAAGTCAATGTCATTCAAATCGTCAGATGTCAAAGTCATTCTTCTTTATGATCAAAACGGGAAAAATAACTACTAAATGTTATTTTGGTGTATGTACCGTATTTATATTCATATGCATGTAGTAAAAAACGGTTATTTCAATATTACAAACAGACACTCCAATTTTATTTATATGTATAGATTAGTAAAAATCACGGGATCTTACGGACGATATATCGAGAACTCAATAAAAATAAGTGGTATATTGTGACTCGGCTGAGGATGACGGCCTCGGTGGTCTAGCGGTTTAGCACACCGCCTTACATCCGATGGTCGCGGCTTCGATTCCTCGCACGGCACAAACATTTGTATTCATGAGTACGATTGTTTGTATCGGTCTGGGTATTTTCTATGTATAATATGTATGTATTTACAAACAATATACAACTATGTATTTGTGTCAGTTATCTAGTACCCATAACATAAGCTTTATCTAGCTTCACTTGGGTCTAGATGGCGTTATGTATGTATTTACGAAAAAAAAATACATATCTATGTATTTGTATCAGTTATCTAGTGCCCATAACACAAGCTTTAGGTAGCTTAATTTGGGTCTAGATGGCACTGTGTGAATTGTCCTGAGATTATATATTTATTTATTTATTTATTGTGACTATATATACATTGACAAAAAAAGAATATAAATGATCAAATAAAATCAAAAACGAATCTCAAAATGTCTCCACTCAATTTTATGACGTGTCCTACAAGAGAGCGCTACTTTTGAGTGGTAATAAAAGTTTCATACACTCAACGGATATCTACCAGGATCGGGATCGTAAGTTTGACTGAGTCAACTTTACAAACCGGCAATAACCGGATATTTCCAGTTTTATCCGGATATTTCCAGTTTTATCCGGATATTTCCAGTTTTATCCGGATATATCCAGTTTTATCCGGGTATATCCAGTTTTATCTGGATATTTCCAGTTTTATCCGGCGCGCGGGGAGCAGGGCGATGGCGGCGCGGAGTTCGCTAATTCCCGCCGTAAACACGAGTTTATGGGTGACACTTTTATCCGTTAAGATGCTTTTTATGATAAACTGGAGTAATCTCGTTAACTATGGCTCGCTGTTACATGTTTTAAGGATTTTCTGGTTTGAATATAAATCTGAATTGTTTTGGTGGTTCATAGAAATTGAGTCTGTTGAAATAACAATGAGACGGTCGATATTTATATGCTAGCTAGCTGTTCCCGCGACTTCGTCCGCGTGGTACTTAACTTTATTTTTAGAATAGAATAGAATAGAATAATATTTATTACAATCACACATCACAACACAACAATGACGATGCTCATAGCAGCATATAAATTATTATAACATATAAATAGAAATAATAAATACAATTTTCAAAATTGAAGAATTCGTTAACGATAATAATGTTTTTATAGAAAAACTTTAAATCTATAGCACTGACAATATTATCTGATTACATTAATAATGAGTGCGTAGCGACTTCTATGTTGATTATCGCATGCCTCTTACTTGTTATACTGTAATTATTTATATAAAAAAAAACATCTATTAAAAAGAGCAACACACAAGTTTCTTACTCATTCTTCTTGTGATGAATCTGCATTCCGAATCAGTGGTAGAATTAAAATATGACTATTCAAAAGTGCTTGTAATGAGTTTATTTGAATAAAGATTATTTCTATTTCTATTTCTTATACAAATCATTAAGAGAAAAAAATGTAAAAACATTTCTAAAGTAAAAGTTTTTAGAATGTCACTTTTTCAATGTTAATTGTACATACTTTAACCAAATTCACCTTGAAGAGGTCCTTGCGTGTACATTATTCTATATTTCTTAATAGTATTCAGCCAAACTTCTATCAAGATATAACTCCATGAGATTATACGAATATTTATTATATGTAGTTTAATTTGATATTTTACTAGCTGTCCCCGCGACTTCGTCCGCATGGAATTTAACTTTATTTTCTAAAATAAAAGCAGCCTAAGTTACTCCTTATTAAATCAGCTACCTGCCAATAAAAGTCCCATCAAAATCGGCCCAGTCATTTCAGAGATTAGTCGGAACAAACAGACAGACAGACAAAAATTGTAAAAGATGTTATTTTGGTGTATGCACCGTATTTATATTCATATGCATGTAGCAAAAACGGTTATTTCAATATTACAAACAGACACTCCAATTTTATTTATATGTATAGATTAGTAAAAATCACGGAATCTTACGGACGAAATATCGAGAACTCAATAAAAATAAGTGGTAAGATTTCGTAATTTTTATTTTTATTACCAGCATTGAGCTGTATTAATAATAATCCTTGACAATTTACAAAGCGCCATCTAGTTCAATGATAAGCAGCTTGTGTTACGGATACTAGACAACTGATACAAATACTTAGATATTTTTTGACGACCTCGGTGGTCTAGCGGTCAAGCACACCGTTCTACGTCCGATGGTCGCGGGTTCGATTCCTCGCACGGCACAAACATTTGTATTCATGAGTATGATTTTTTGTATCGGTCTGGGTATTTTCTATGTATAATATGTATGTATTTACGAAAAAAAAAACATATCTATGTATTTGTATCAGTTGTCAAGTACCCATAACACAAGCTTTAGGTAGCTTAATTTGGGTCTAGATGGCGCTGTGTGAATTGTACTGAGATTATTTATTATTATTATTTATTTATTTTTATAAATGCATACATAATATATGTAGAAAACTGCCAGACCGATACAAACAATCATAGTCATGAATACAAATGTTTGTGCCTTGCGAGGAATCGAACTCCAACTCTAACTCTAAATTCAGCTCTTATTCTTTTCAAATAACAATCTACATGATTACTACAATGCAGATTTATTTATTAATGCAATTAGAGATAATGTAGTGACCATCAGTATATGCTATATTTGTCAAAAAGGATCTAATCAGAGGCCTTACCTCAAGTGTTAATATTTCTTTTTTTTTATATAGTTACGCCCTTATTTCCATAGACTGAAGGTTCATGACCTTTTTTGCAATTTTTTTTAATCGATTCTTTCTATTTTTTTTCCATGCTTTTATTGTTCCGCGAATAATATGCATTGTGGCTTCCCGCAGTTAATATTTTTTTTATTTTTTTATTTATATTTTTTTTATTTTTTTGTCTTTTTTTCATTTCTTTTTTTTTTCTCATTTGTCTCTTTTTTATTTTATTTTATTTTCATAATACATTATATTATATTACAATAAATTAACTTCGAACGTGTTTGTTACAGTTCACTTTGGTTCCTGCTTCCATTGTTAAGTTAATATAATAAAATTCATTTTATGTAAAATATTTTCCAACTTAATAATTAAACGATAAATTCGCGGTATAATCAAAATTTTGGTACGACTTACTTAATTATGCTATAAAGGTGAAAACTAGGTTACAAGTGCTGTTAAAGAGATTAAGTTACGATTCTTATTGCTCAATAACAACTGTTGTTTACGGCGCAGTCGGATAAAGTGCAAATTGTAACACTCATTATAAAATAAGGTTTTTATATTATACATAACTAGCTGTTCCCGGGACTTCGTCCGCGTGGAATTTAACTTTTCTAAAATAAAAGTAGCCTAAAGAACTAATAATTATTTTGCTCGTCTTAATTTATTCGTTCCATTAGGTACTGATAGGTTCAAACTAATATATTTACATCCTGCATCATCCCTTATTTTATCCCCATGGGGGTTGAATTTATCAAAATCCTATTTAAGCGAACGTCTTCATCATAGTAGCTCCAATTTTTAATTTCAGTTCAATCAGTCGAAAATCTAAGAAGATTTATACAAACTTTCATCCCCTATTTTATCCCCATAGGGATGGAATTTATCAAAATACTTTCTTAGGGGGTAGCTTTATGCATGCAAAGTCAGCCCGATCGGTTTAAAATTGACAAACTTTCATGCCCTATATTATTCCCTTGGGGGTAGAATTAATCAAAATTCTTTCTTAGCGGATATCTATGTGTGCCCGATCCGTCCAGTGGTTTGGGTTGTCCGTTGATAGATCACTATGTCAGTCAGTAACCTTTGAGTTATATATATTTAGATTTGCTTAGGGTAAAGCTAATATTATAAACTATCACACTGTTATTGGTTGCCATACTGCTCCGAAACGGGTTACTGATTTTGATGAAATTATTTATGTACACTCAGTAGGTCTGAGAATAGGTTGTTATCGTTTTTTTATAACCATAAGTGAGAAGGGTGGCCTTCGCCAAAAGGTTGTTATAGAATTTTGGTCAAGTAATAGAAGTTTGGTTTTTTGGATGTGGTATTAAAAAATATATACAGTCCTAAATTTCACCCTTCTACCACCAAACCTCTATCTACCTTCCACCTTCTTCAACTCTTTTTCCAATTTCCAATTTTCAATACTATATTTTTCAATACCGATATTACTTTATATGCCAAAAGAATATTTACCGGGTCATCTAGTAATAATATAAAAACACATTTTCCTCCGCTAACCTCCGCAACAAGCACTGTTCCTTCCGTCTTAGACGCTAAGCAGTTTATTTTATAAGCTGTGTATATTTTCTACGAACATAGAGAAGTACAGACATATAACAAGTTTTCCGTAGTTATAAAAATGTACACAACAATTTTTTCACGAAATATATCAGCTATCGTTATCTTTAGCAAAGATATTACGTCTTGACCTCTAAGTTCAATGAGTAATGTAGATTAACTCAATTGGACCTCAGTTGCGGTCAAATATCCGGCAACATGGACGTGAATTTATTTGTCTTACTAGTTCTAGTTGCTAAAGTTTCCTCTCAAAATGAATCATGGGCAAATAACGTGGAAAACTTTTTTAAAGATCAAACCAATAAAGTGAGTTCATTTTTCAACGAACAACAGCGTAGTTTTGAAGCAGCTGTAAATTCTAGTTACGAAGAGGCAAAACGTGTTCAGGATTCAGTGAATGAGTATTTCGAAGAACAGAAGAGAGTGATTGACGAAGAAGTTAATGCATACGTTGAAGGTGTGAAAGCAACTGGCAGAGAAATTGCAGACACATGGTCTTACGTTCCAGATACAGTTCAGAGAGATGTCAAGAAAGTGGATATATCAGACCAGTATCTAACTATACCGGCAATCATTTCACGCAACGGTTACATTTGCGAAACGCACACAATCCTATCTAAAGGATACTTCTTAAATATCCACAGAATTCCTCGAAATAAACAGGCTAGTCAAGTTTCTTCTAAAACCGTATTTCTTCAACACGGAATATTCGGAAGCTCTGCAGACTGGATAATAAATGGCCCTGATAAAGCTTTGGGATATGTTTTAGCAGATGCAGGATACGATGTCTGGATGGCGAATATAAGAGGAAACAGATATTCTAGACAGCACTCTTGGTGGGACATTAATTCAAAAGAGTATTGGAACTTTTCATGGCATGACGTGGCAATGTATGACGTGCCGGCTATAATAGATTATATTAACAAAGTGAAAGATGGTGACGCGCAAATTTCTTATATCGGACACTCGATGGGTACCACCATTTTGTTTACCATGTTGTCAGTCCGACCAGAGTACAATAATATTTTGCGTGGTGCTATCGCTCTAGCCCCTGTTGTGTTCACATCTGATGTCAATTCATCATTAACCTCCCTAGCTCCGATGGCGAGTAATGTTGCATATATGGCGATGACGTATGGTTCGCATGAATTTATTCCTAAAGAATCCTTCTTGGGTGGTCTTCCTAAAGCCTGTGATATAACACATATAGATAAGTTCATATGCAATCATATTATATTCAAAATTTGTGGATACGATGAAGGACAAATGAACAGCACAATTCTGCCGATATTCCTAGCGCATTTAGGAACTGGCACGTCATGGAAGACTGCTGTACATTTCGCACAGGAAATAGTAGCTGGAGGTAAATTCCAGCAATTTGATTACGATACGTATTATAATAAAAAGGTTTATGGCACTGAAAAACCTCCGGAATATGATTTGAGTAAAGTAACATTGCCGATTTCGTTGTTTTGGGCACAAAACGACTTGTTGTCTAGAGAGAAAGATATAATAAAGTTGCGTAGTAAATTGCCAGAATCAACACAAACGTACATGGTGCCGTACTCGGAGTTCAATCATTTGGATTACATATGGGCAACCGATGTGCATACGCTGGTGAACGAGAAGGTCCTATCCACTTTGGAGAGTATATTTGGAAATGACCGCAGAATCCTTAAATTCAACTTTGGATTTTAGTTAGTATATATTAGTGACTAATTTTTATTTAGCAAAAATATAAGTTATAATTATGTTTTCTATATTACATACTTACATACACTATTAGCAATATATAACATATGCGTTGCGATAAAAAATTGGCTTCTTGTCATTAAACTAAAGTAATATTTCTTGACTTTGCAAAATTATGACTTTTCATAAGTATGTAATATAAAATATATGGCTGTAATAGATATGTAAAAAATGTATATTAAAAAAAAGTTATCTGTTATATAGTCAATGATTTTTAATTCTGATTAATACGATATCATTATATAGTGTAAAACAATAATATAATAGTATAAAACAAAGTCGCTGACACTGTCTGTCCCTATTTATGCTTAAATCTTTAAAACTACGCAACGGATTTTGAAGCGGTTTTTTTTTATAGATAGAGTGATTCAAGAGGAAGGTTTATATGTATAATACATGTACATCCGTGCGAAGCCGGGGCGAGTAGCTAGTTAAAAATAATAAATATTCCATGGCAATAAAAAGATACAGTAAATTATGTTATGTTATAAAAAATGGGAATAGATGTAATAAATTTATTGTCCAGTTAAAACAAATGTTGGCACATAAAGCGTACATAGATGAGTAATAATAAAACGTACGCCTCTCTTCCACGTTGCAATGCCTAAAAGTTTCATGTTACGTGTGTGAATTAATTAATATACCATAATTATGTAACGCAACGTAAATAAATAAATAAATATTTATATTTTTGTTGCAAACTCTTTGCTCATTTATATTTATTTATTTTTATACCAATTTTGAATGTATTTTCTTCACTGTTTTTAGAATGTCACTTTTTCACTGTTAACTGTACGTACCTTACATTACAGGTATATACTATTTTCTATTTCCATCCCGACCACACTTTTACACACACACACGACACCGTCCTCGCCGGCGAAGACGACGACCTCAAACATACAATGTCGCGCATACAACCAGGCGCCTGCGCGCGCCCGGGCGCTCCACACCGGCGCTCCACACCGGCGCCCCCGGGCGCCCCTCCGATCGATCCCCCGGGAATCGAAATTACGACGGCCTGAGCCGAGGTTCGAACCCCTAGTGGTGCCCTCAGACTAAAGTCGTATCCGTCAGGCAGGAGTTGGCCTTCAGCCGCTGTATAAGTCCTTCCGCGGGTTTGGAGTGCCATCGGCACTCGCCTCATAACGTCCGGTGAAGCTGTAAAGGCCAGCTGCGGCCAACAGCATTAGAGTAGTCCGAAAAATAAAAATAAAAAACTATTTTCTATCAATTGTTTGTTTAACACCACCCATTCATTATATCGCCCATAGTTTTATGTATCTTTTATATAATTGTAATGACAAACAAGCTGATCGGATGATCATATACTGTAATCATCTTTTTCCGTTTACATAAATAAACAACAACACCGTGACTCATAACCTGTAACTTTTATCTGAAATATGTTATAACAAATGAAAATCATAACAAATTGTACAATTTTAGTTAAAAAATAAACAATGTTAATAAATCATATTCCCAGGATAGTGTTTGGATCTGAATATTTTTATTTATTTATTTAATTCAGGCTTTTTTTTTATACTACTATGGTGGCAAGCAAGCATACGGCCCATCTGATGGTAAATGGTTACCGTAGCCTATGTACGCCTGAAGCAACAGGGGTGTCACGTGCGCGTTGCCGACCCTTTGGAAACCTTAATATACCCTTCTTGAAAATAAAACCACAACAATATACCGCTATTGTTGTGGTTTGTGTTGTAATAAGTTTATTCTATTCTATTCTATAATCAAAATCAAATTAAAAAATCATTTATTCATGTAGGATTTTAGTTGCATATGAACGTCAATTTTTTTATAAGTATTATAATTTTTTCCCTACCGTCCAGTTCAGTACCTATATAGATCCAATCGAGAAGATCAGGTAAGACCTTATAGATTAACATACACATACATAAGAAATAATAATAAAATATGTAAATAAAATTGTCTCTATGGTCACGGCAATGACGGCAATCTGCCACGTTAGCGCCGATGGACCACACCCTTCGGCCAGTAGTCCTCCTTCATGAAGGTGGCAGCATGTTGGTGGGGACCAGGGCCACGAACGCTTTGAAGCTCGCGTTGTGACTCCATTCCAGCTGCGTTACCCTCAATGTCAGGTTACTTTTAGTCCGGATGTAGTCAACAATGTCCTGTTCCTTAGTAGCGTAGTGTAGGCGGGATAGGTACATTGCTGTGGTCGGTATTGCGGCACGTAACAAGTTGGGCCCTGTCAGTGCCGTGCCACAATGGTTTCGATTGACCCTCTTTGTGCGCCTCTTCTTTTGTACTGTGACAAAACCATCATCGTCACGGTCAGCAGACTTAGTACACATAGGGTAGGTAAAACCTGTACCTGATTATCAATATGAATAATATTATTTAAGATACTGAGTATATTCTAACTAAATTTGAGTATATGTAGATTGGCCGATAGAACAGATGGGACTCGATTGGGATTAGGGATGCCAAACCAATAGTATCCTTGTACATGATTTCTAGTACAAGATTTTTTTTTTTTTGTACAAAGTACAAAGATATCGCCTGAAATTTTGTATTAATTTTTTTTTATTTTATTTATTTCAGACTGCCCATATTTTAAATACCTTATAGTCATATAGAAATTTCAGCCCGATCCGTCCAGTGGTTTGGGTTGTGCGTTGATAGATCACTATGTCAGTCACCTTTGAGTTATATATACTATATTTAGATAGTACTAGACGAGAGAAAATCTCAGATTTTAAAAAAATAAGTTACATATTACACAATACACATAGAGTAAGCAGAACTTGCGTTATAGGTAATTTGTATAAAAACTGAGTATTTCTAATGTATGTAAGTAAAAGATATACTCAGTTTTTTTAATATAATCCATACATAATATACATAGAAAATACCCAGACCGATACAAAAAATCATACTCATGAGTAAAAAAATTGTAGTGTGCGATGATCGAACCTGCGACCATCGAAAGTAAAGCGGTGTGCGAAATATATACCACCGTGTCCGTCATTAAGTTAATACATGAGTTTATTAACTTTATTGTACTAAAAATATTTGTAGTTGGCAACCCTGATTAACTCTCTCATGCTTACGGTTTGTATCCACGTACCTAGTATAACAAATCCCCCAAACCGTAATCGATTTCAGATTGACCTGAGCATACACAAATAGGCAAATCCTTACGCAAGTGTAGCACGGTGCAATAGGGCTAGGAATGATTTAGGCAGGTTCAGAGACGAGGGTTGCATATTCAATACATGTCAGGTCAAATCGTGAGCGGTGGGAATAGAAATAGTTCAGTGAGCGCAGAGGAATACTTATTTTACATTTTCAGTTAAATGATTTCTATTCTATTCTAAGTTTTTCTACGTCTGCCTGTTCGCAATTAAAACCTGAATGTAAGTGATAATAATAATAATAATAATCTCAGGACAATTCACACAGCGCCATCTAGCACCAAGTTAAGCTGCTAATCAAAAAAATCTTATATGGACGTGAAATACTTACAGTGAATTTTTTGTAGAAACAGTATTTCTAAATCAGTATGAATTTTAATTGCATTCAATAATTCAACATTAACAATGAAGAATGTTAATTAATTTTGAATATTAGCTCTCCATATTCTCTGTCAAAAATAAAAATATAAGTGAAAGAATTACTTCAATACGTCAATTAGTTTCTGATTTATAGAAGTAAGTAAAAATGAACCGAAATCTGATACTGCTATAAACTAAAAAGCTAGAAATAAAAATAAACTTACCTATACAGAATAAACACATTATTGGTACAACTTGGTACTACAAGTATGAATGGAGGAGAAAAACATATTACGCCGACCTCAAATAAATAAGAAAAGCAAGAAGCAGATAATGATGATGATGTAGGTACTACAACCAGAGGTATCTACTGCTTTACATCTCAAATAGAGATGTGCTAACTCGTAACAAACATGATTCGAGTTAACTCGAGTTGAAATTCAGGTAACCCGAGTTGACTCGAGTTATCTAGAATAAACAGTTCTTTATGCTTTTTTTTAATTTTTCGAACCAATCTAATGTTTTTGGCCGCAGCTAGAGGAAGCTACCTTGAAAGGTTTACTGAACCATAAGGGGTGAGTAGAAATGGCACTTCAAAGCCGCGGAAGGACTTCTAGAACGCATAGTCATTTTAATGATAACATAACCAGACGGATATGTGAAAAAAAATGATAACGACCTCAAATCAACATTGAAACATTTGTGACGAGTTAAAATTGTATGATATGAAATGATCGGTAAAAATATGTCATTGTCGGTTCGATGACAGAATCATGCTCTCGCTCTTTCACTTGATTCATTCATTTACCAGTTGAATTCTTCCAACTCGAGTTGGCAGAATTCAACTCGAGTTAACTCGAATTTACCGCAACTCGAGTTGACACATCTCTAATCTCATCTACAAACTGAAAACTGCACTTCCTATTCATATCTGTTGGTCCACAGTCGAGAGCATTTAAAATTCACGCTCGTAAACGGTTTTTATTCCCGTCAGTTTTTCTAAAGTTAGTTTACTTGGTAATAGAGGCTTAAGAAATAATCTTTATTCAAATAAACTTAATATAAGCTCTTTTGAATAGGCACATTGTTTTTTATTTTACCACTCATTCGAAATGCAGACTCGTCACAAGAAAAATGAGAAGACACTGGTGTGTTGCTCTTTTAAATGAACGTTGTTTTAAGTAAATTTAGATTAATAAGGATTAGGCATGCGACAATCAACATAGAAACCGCTACGCACTCAATCTTTGTCAGAGTGATTCAAGAGGAAGGTTTATCGTATATGTATAACTAGCTGTACACGCGACTTCGTCCGCGTGGAATTTAGCTTTATTTTTGTAAAATAAAAGTTGCCTAGTTACTCCTTATAACATCAGCTAACTGCCAATAAAAGTCCCGTCAAAATCGGTCCAGCTTGGTACATCACCAACAACGAAATTCACAAGGAACTTGGCGTACTGAGAGTAAAGGAGGAGACCCTCAATTGTAAAGAAAAATATAAAAAGCGACTATGTAACCACCCAAATCAACTGGCTGCTCAATTACTACAAATACTTTACCCCAAGCGACTAAAAAGAAGCGACATTGTGTAATGTTTGCAGTATGCTTAAGGAGTAGATTCTCCCGCTGGGGTGGACACTCCATTCTTAGATCCCACACCCAAAAAATCTGCTCATAGTTCTGGGACTGATTGCAGATCAGAAAAGAATAAAAATTGGTCTAGCTATTTCAGAGATTAGCCGGAATAAACAGACAGACAGATAGACAGACAAAAATTGTAAAAAATGTTATTTTGGTGTATGTACCGTATGTAAAAAACTATTATTGCAATATTACAAACAGACACTCCAATTTCTTATATGCACACTTGCGCAAAACTGTTGCTTTATCTAGTTTAATATATAGTGAAAAAAATATTGTCTTTCGTTATTGGGACGATGGGTGATGGAGGATCTTTCTATTTACATATTCCTATTTAAAATGTATAAGTAAGTAAAATGATTTCAACTGCATTACACTATCAAATTTCGGTACGATGACTCAGTGAACGTGAGTTATGTTGATAAATATCAGCGGTTCGTAATAGTTTGTTTGTAATAATATGTACATTATTCAGATATCAAAGTCGTAGCATATTGGTTCACTATACAAGACTTCATTAAGACTAATTCACAGGTATAAATTGATAAAACGAACATTACAGGTTAAACAAACTAGGAAGTTTATTATTTACTACTTCATTTCGATCAGTTTGCTATATTTTTCTATAGTATAGTATATACTGAAAAAATATTGTCTTTAGTTATTGGAACGGTGGATGATTATCTTTATCTTGTACTAGCTCTCCGCCCGCGGCTTCGCCCGCGCGGACTATAGGTTATACTGCTCAGTAGTGGGATGTTATGTAGCTTAAACCTTCTTCTTGAGAAACACTAACTATTCTGTCTATTAAAAAAAATATTCAAACATACATAGATACAGACAGACAACGGGAAGCGAAATTAGCGAATTACATAGGGACGGACAGACAGCAACAGCGACTTTGTTTTATACTATGTAACAAAGATTATTTCTATTTCTATCTATTGCTGAATACTGTATTAAAATCCGTTGCATAGTTTTAAAGATATAAGCGAACAGACAACGGAAGCGATTTCATTTTATACTATGTAAAGATGTTGCATAATAACATTATCAGTTAAAGATCGGAATCCGTTATCTTATTGCAATATTGGTTCTTTCCAAACAAACAAAATCGTTGAGATAATATATCTCTGGATAATCAAAGTTGTAGCTATCTTGGAATATCATGTAATATATCTTATTTTACATACAAGCCGCAGTCATGACGGTAATCAGATTGTTAACGGTGTTTTGTCTTCTAACAATAGTAAATTCAGAGTCTGCTAATCAAAGGCAACATGCTACAGTTGCTGAAGTAGAAGAATATATTGAAAAAACAAAGCAAAATATAAACCCAAGGTACAGATTACATTATCATGTTGCTCCTCCTGTAGGTTGGATGAATGATCCCAATGGATTCTCATATTACAAGGGAGAATACCACATTTTCTACCAGTTCTATCCGTATGATAGTGTATGGGGCCCAATGCATTGGGGGCATTCTTCGAGCCCCGACTTGGTCAATTGGAAGACACTACCAACAGCATTGGTGCCTGGAGATGTCCAGTGTTTCTCAGGGAGTGCTGTTGTGGATGGAGATACATTGACACTGATGTACACTGCTCATGAAATTACCGATAGTGAACCGTATTATAATGAAACTCAATTTCTGGCGTACAGCGACGATGGCATAAATTTTAGAAACTATGAAGGCAATCCTGTTTTACCGGCAGCGCCTAACGGATCTCCAGATTTCAGAGATCCCAAAGTTTGGAGGCATGGAGACTTCTGGTACGTAGTCATTGGCAGCAAAACATCAGATGAAAGAGGTAGAGTTCTTTTATATCGATCAAGCGATTTGAAGGATTGGGACTTTTTGACAGTTATCGGTGAATCTACTGGTGATATGGGTTACATGTGGGAATGTCCTGATTTCTTTGAATTAAATGGCAAACATATATTGTTAATGTCACCCCAAGGTATTAATCCAGAAGGTGACCGGTACAAGAATACTTATCAAACAGGTTATATAATAGGTACTTTCAATTATGACACTTATGAATTCGTTCAAGAGGTGCAATTTCAAGAAATGGATTATGGACATGACTTTTATGCAACACAAACGACAGATTTAGATGGGAAGAGATACGTTATCGCTTGGTTTGGTATGTGGGAGGTACCTCATCCTGAAGAAGCAGATGGCTGGGCTGGAGCCCTGACTCTTATTAGAGAACTTAGCCTAGTTGGAGATCGTATTATAATGAAGCCAGTGGAATCTATGATTAGTCTTAGAGAAGAGAAATTGCTAGATGGAGAATTCCAAGCAGGAGAAGTGATAAATTTTGAAAAAACTGGCGAAATTATAGTAGAAGGTGATTTGGAAAATAAAATTGAACTGTTACTCGAAGGTAGAGAGGGTGGGGGCAAAGTGTGGCTAAAATGGGATCCTGATGTAGAAAAGGTTATAGTAGATAGAGGATCCGGTGACATAAGACAGGTAGAGTGGAGTCCATTAGATTCAAAGTCATGGAGAATATTTTTAGATGCAAGTTCGATTGAACTATTCTGTGGTGAAGGCGAAGTGGTTTTCAGCAGTCGAGTTTTTCCTGAAGGCGGTTGGAAATTGACAAATCAAAGTCCTCAAATATTGAATATCACACTGTACAAATTAAAAAGGAGTGTTCCAGCATGATTTTTATCTACATATAATAATTTTATGATTTAACATCATACATGCTTCATTCACTTAAATTATACATATACACACACATTCTTTTTCACATACTCTCATATACACACAAGTGATTTTTAATTCAGATACAATTATCGTATTTATAATTCTTAAATGTTCTATTACTTTTATTTATTATGAAATTTATAATATTTGATTTTTACTGCTAAATTAATCTTTATTCTATTTGCCATATTATGTTTTTTTTTCTTTTGCTAAGTCATTGAAAACCTGGGCTTTTTCTAGAAATGTACTGTTGATTTAATATGTAGGATTGTAAGCTGTTGGCTTTTTAATAAATGAATAAATAAATAAACAAAATATATATGTTTGAAGGCTATATTTTTATATTTTTAAAGGCTAAAATATATAGTATAATATACAAGCATTATCAACTCTCAAACGGTATCGAACCACTTAGCTTGAGGCGAGACTTCGTATCGCTTTGTGTGTTCTACCGTATATACAACGGGTTGTGTTCTGATGAATTATTTGACATGATGCCTACAGCTACCTTTTACCATCGCACCGCTCACCATCGACAGGGAATTCATCCCCACACGCTGGAACCTAAGTGGTCTCGGACCGTGCGGTTTCAGAGGAGCTTCCTCCCGCGTACACTTAGATTGTGGAATGAATTACCTGCTGAGGTTTTCTCGAGAGACTACAGCATGGGGTTTTTCAAGAAGGGTATATTAAGGTTTCTTAAGAGTTGGCAACGCGTGTGTTACACCCTTGGTGTTTCAGGCGTCCATAGGCTACGGTAACCGTTTACCATCAGATGGGCCGTATGCTTGTTTGCCACCTAAGTGTATGTAGCTTATATCTTTTAAACGGATTTTGAAGCGGTTTCTTTTAATAGATAGAGTGATTCAAGAGCAAGGTGTATATATAATATATTGTACACCCGTGCGAAGCCGATGCGAGTAGATAGTAAATGAATAAATAAATAAACATCATATATATTTTTGAAGGCTAAAATATATACCATTATGGTACATATTTTAGCCTTCAAAAATAATTGACAATGATAATCATACTTTTTTGTTTAAGTAGAATATAGCGTATTTTTACAAACATAGAGTTTAAAAAATATATAGCAACAATTGGATATAAATTATGCTTTTATTTTATTATAAGGTCTTCGTGTATTTTGTATATAAACAGTTTGGTTTACTGAAAAATGTACTGTATGCAGATGTAATTAAAAGTTACATCCATGTCAAAAGGCCTCGGTGCGGTGGTCTAGTGATTTGGCACACCGCCTTACATCCAATGGTCGCGGGTTATCTTCCTTGCACGGTACAAACATTTGTATTCATGAGTATGATTATTTCTATTGGTATAGGTGTTTTCTGTATATACTATGTACTAGTTTGCATGGCGGTTTAACCCGCATGAAATTTATAGCCTATATGTTATTCTGATGTATAAGCTATATTACTGTAAAGTTTCATCAAAATCAGTTCAGTAGTTTTTGCGTGAAACAGAAACAAATATCTATCCATAGTAACAAATTTTCACGTTTATAATATTACTAGCTACTCGCCCCGACTTCGCACGGGTGTACGTGTATTATATAATAACAATCCTCTTGAATCACTCTATCTATTAAAAACCGCTTCAAAATCCGTTGCGTAGTTGTAAAGATTTAAGCATACGGACTGACCGCGACAGCGACTTTGTTTTGTACTATGTAATGATATTCTACCCCCAAGGGGATAAAATAGGGGATGAAAGTTTGTATGAAACTTTGTCAATTTTAAACCGATCGGGCTGAGACTTTGCATGCATAAAGCTACTATGAAAGGATTTTGATAAATTCCACCCCTAAGAGGATAAAATAACGCGAGCGAAGCCGCGAGCAAAAGCTAGTTATATATAAGTGACGTGAGCGAAGCCGCGGGTAAAAGCTAGTCACTTATAAGTACTTTGTGGTAAATGTAATTCATTTAAAAAAAACAATTTATAAATAGTCTTTTATCTTGTATGCAAGATTCTAAATTGAGGTAATAAATTTCCTTTCATTTATTCCCCTGTGCTTAAATCTGAGGATATCGTGGGAAATAAAAGGCATTTAGATATGGACCATTTATTACATGATCAGGGGCGACCCGCACTCATTAGTATACCGACTCTGATAATTACAAGCAATAGGGGACTAATGAGAGAAATCATTATTAAACCGTAGGAAAATGCATTCACAACAAAATTCTCCAGATTTTGCCAAACTGAAGAGGAAACGCCACTACACCTGTAACTGGAGTAGGAAACAACGGCTATTTTATTAAAAATCTGAATAGTAGTGATCTCTCTCTTCTTCTCTTTCACACAGAACGAAGTGGAAAATCATGCAAGAGGCATACGTCCAGCAGTGGACTAATATATGTTCAATGCTGGACGTATGCCTCTTGCATAATTTTCTGTCCAGGTCGGTCCTAACGTCTTCCTGATGTCATCAGACCATCTGGCGGTTGGTCTGCCTACGCTTCTGCTTACCATCCAAGGTCGGATTCGGCCATATTAGGGTTCTGTATGTTCATCTGTCGTCTTTGCTTCGACATACATAACGTAAATACATACATACATAACACAACGTATATATATTATTTTATACTAGACATTTATATATTTTTTTTACATGTATCATTTATATTGCACGGCCAATAATCTTTCTCTGCATCACTCATGGTTGCCTGGTAGATAACGTTGTAAGGTGTTAAGTACGCCATATCTACATATTTATATATATAACTCAAAGGTGACTGACGTAGTGATCTATCAACGCACAGCACAAACCACTGGACGGATCGGGCTGAAATTTGGCATGCAGGTAGATGTTCTGACGTAGACATCCGCTAAGAAAGGATTTTGTTTAATTCTACCCCCAAAGGCAAAAATAGAGGATGAAAGTTTATATGAAACTTTGTCAATTTTAAACCGATCGGGCTGAGACTTTGCATGCATAAAGCTACTATGACGTAGGCATCCCCTAAGAAAGGATTTTGATAAATTCCACCCCTAAGGGGATAAATTAACGTGAGCGAAGCCGCGGACAAAAGCTAGTGTGAGAATAAAACACAATGGTGGCAACAGAAAGACAGTGAGAAAAATTCTATTTACTAACCTACATCATTGACAATAGAATAGAATAGAATAGAAAATCATTTATTCAAATAAACTTACATTGAAGCACTTTTGAATAGTCATAACATTTTTTTTTAATCTACCGCTCATTCGGAATGCTGTCTCATCACAAGAAGAACAAGCAAGAAACTTGTGTGTTGCTCTTTTAAATAATTTATTCTTACTTACAATTTAAGTTTAAGTGTGTGAATACAAACCACCGATTAGCACTAATTCAATTAAATACTCAAAAAGAAAAAAAATATTGAATACATAACCAACTAGTTAAACAATTAATAAGAGGAAATCAGTCATAGTGATTAGAGCAGACCAGTCCCTACAAGCAGCACCCGTTCACGAGTATGACGGATGAGCCAGCCATCACTGCGCTCGACCATATTTTAGGGAGCCCAATGACCCGGCCCACCAGGCCGCCACAAGTCTGGACATTTTAGTGAGCATGACTACTCAAAACACCAGACCACGTCATAGCTACTCACAATTGCCATCTGATGTTTATAGTATTCACATTTCACATAAGAATGCATGCGGCAATTAATACAAAACCCGCTACGCTTTCAAATTTCTAAAATAATTGAATCAAGAAAGCAATGAGATAAACAAATTATAACGTTGTATGCTAATAAACTAATTATTTACTTGATATGTTGTCGTCTATGAATTCGTCTATCCTGTAATAGGCTTTCTTACACATATTTTTTACAACCACTACACATTATTTAAATTATTAACCGGGTCTTAACACGAATAATTTTATGGCAAATAAAGGTATTTACCGGTTAATAATTTAAGTAATGTATATTAAACACGAAAGTTTTAAATTAACAACCACTACACATGAAAATAGATGGCGTTTGCTGTCTCTAAAAAAGGGAATATTTTTATAATAAATTATAACAATATGTACACTTTATTTTTGTGAATAGAAGTTGACAAGGCCCGGTTAGGGTGGTGAAATAATATCACGCTGTGGAATTATGTATTGTCGATATATTACAAGTGTTTTATGAGATAAAGTACGTACGGCACCTAATGCACAATATCGCGGATTCAACCCGGCGCCTGCGCGCGCCCGGGCGCTCCACACCGGCGCACCCGGGCGCCACTACGATCGATCCCCCGTCCAATTCAAACGGGGATCGAAATTACGACGGCCTGAGCCGAGGTTCGAACCCCTAGCGGTGCCCTCAGACTAAAGTCGTATCCGTCAGGCAGGAGTTGGCCTTCAGCCGCTCCATAAGTCCTTCCGCGGGTTTGGAGTGCCATCTGCACTCGCCCCCTAACGTCCGGTGAAGCTGTAAAGGCCAGCTGCGGCCAAGAGCATTAGAGTAGTCCGAAAAAAAAAGGCACCCAATGCACGGAATATCCGAGTGAGTCTTCGTGGCAGATCGGGCTCGGTGCCTGCTCGGACGCCCCGCGCCGCCCGCAGATCCCGCAGCCGTCCACTGTCTCTTGCGCTCTAACAGACTCCTGGGGTTGAACTGATGTCTTCAATGATCAGGAAGAGGGCAGATGCAGTTGAAGGCACGACGAATAGTGCCCTTCTTCGTCTTCAGTTCGGCCACTCTTATGACGCCGTCCACGCTAGGGTAGATCTTAACGACCCGAAGCAGGCACTATAGTAGTGGAGGTGCTGTCTTGTCCTTGATCAGGACAAACCTCTAAGTTTCACCTCGCCTGATGAATGGAGCCATTTTGTTTTTACCTGAAGTATGGAAATGTATTCATTATGAAATCGTCTCCAGAAATGTTGTCGTATGTGCTGAATCCTACGCCATCTGTCCAGTCTCGAGAGGTTGACGTCAGTGTCAGTCACCTGTGGTTGTGGCACAAATAGGAGTGGCCGTACAATTAGAAGGTGTGAGGGTGTATGAGCCGAAAAATCGCGGGCCAACAAAGTTAAATAAATAAATAAGGGTGGCATATCCAGAAATAATGTATATGGCGAAACAACGTTTGCCGGAACAGCTATTTTAATGTATAAAGTTCAAAAACATATGACAACTAGTCCTGTGTAGTTGATAGTAATAAAAATGCAAATATTGTCCGTGCGTTGCAACACGTCACAGCCAGCT